CCAGGTTTACAGCCTGTTCAAGAGCGGACAGCATGAGAGGAGAAATTTCACCACAGCGCATCTGTATTATTTATTCTTTTAACAGAAGAATTCAGAAAAAAAATATGTTGCAGTTTTCTGTCTTCAGGCAATTGAATTTTGACATCTCTGACCTTCAGCTCATTCATCTCATCTCACTTTCTCAGTTTCCTACAACTAGTCCCTCAACCCTGTCTGTGGCAGCTTCATTCATCCTGTCTCTCAGTCTTTCTCTCTCTCTTTTAGAGCCCTGGTGTGCAGCATCGCCTGTTCTTTCCCAGTTACACACACCCCTGCTGAAGAATCACATATCTATATAGACTCTATGGAGAGTGTCCCTGTCCTGCTCACTGTACTGTCTCTGGAAAAGAGCTCAGACCACAGCTCTGAGTGTCCCTGTCCTGCTCACTGTACTGTCTCTGGAAAAGAGCTCAGACCACAGCTCTGAGTGTCCCTGTCCTGCTCACTGTCCTGTCTCTGGAAAAGAGTCCAGACCACAGCTCTGAGTGTCCCTGTCCTGCTCACTGTACTGTCTCTGGAAAAGAGTCCAGACCACAGCTCTGAGTGTCCCTGTCCTGCTCACTGTACTGTCTCTGAAACTGCACTTGCAAATTAAACACAACGTTAATTATACTAAATTAATCAATAACTCTCTGGGCAAAATAAATAAAACACTAGTGACAGAAATACAACGGTAGACAAGATTCAAGCTCTGCCTGTTCCCACCTGCTCTCCTGTCCTTGTTCAGAGCTCAGACACAGATTCACCTCAATGGGAATGTTGCTCTGCAGGCTGGGTGAGTCTGTGCTGAAAGAACAGGTCTGTTCAGGTAAAGTGAAAGAAGGAAGAGAACTGTGTCCCTGTAGCAGTGAACAGCAGTTACTGTGAATAAGATGGAGGATTAAACAGGAGAAAAGACTTCAACTTACAGCACATAATAATAATAACAGATCAGCTCTGAGACAACACAGTCACTGATCAAAGAGTTGATCTATAAGCTGAAGAAGATTCAATGTACAAGTCTGAAGCTGCTGTGTGCTGGACTGACAATGCGATCAGGTTGGTTACAGAAGTGAGTAAGTGATCAGTCAGGTCAGGACTGAAGCTGCTGTGTGCTGGAGTGACAGTGAGATCAGTCAGATCCAGCAGTGTGTGAGTGAACAGTCAGGTCAGGACTGAA